GAGGAAGTCGGAGTCATTGCTAACAACAGGACAGCCGAGATGGATGGCCAAGGATGCAGCCAGTTGATCGGCCTCCCGGTCGGTAGTTAATTGGCGAACGTTCAAGCGCGTCAAAGTGGCGAAAAAGCAAAGAGAAGTCGCGGGGGGTTGCATGGCAATGCGGTAATCTGCAGAAGTGCCATCTTTGGCGGAGGATGCATTCTTCTGAAGTTGTGAGCAAGTGACAAGTCGATCGCGGTTTCGTCTGAGGAGGGTGGATAACTTCGAAGTCTGAAAAAGAGGGCAGTAATAAGTAGAATTGGTCGAAAAATGAATTGAAAAAAACACGATATCAACCTGATGGAAGCAGCCTATTTCAATAGAATACTAGGCTATACATCGCAGATCAAAATAATTTAAGGACTAACTGATGAGTATGAACATGAGTTAAGTTATATGGTCTTCACTGAGCCCGGTCACCTCAATTCACTGTCCCACTGATCGATGACCAGATAGAAGCACTCAACTGACGATCGAGCATGTAGACGGACGAGGTTTTAGACAAAGAAAGTGGTTATAAAAGAAGGTTACATTGAAATTATCCGACTACCGAGACATATTCACCACGTTTGGTCATATTCTGCAGTCGTCGGAAAAATTGTAAACGAAACAGGACTATGGATGTTTTATTCTCGTACCTAAATAGATGTATGCCATCCGGAAGTTGCATAAAACATTCGCAAAAAACAAGTTACAGAAATATGAGTATGTGCAATTTTCTTATCGGATGACAGAAAAATAGTCGAGTACGGAGAAAATCAAAAAATGCAAGAAACATACAGCTTACATATACTCTACTATCAGTAAATTTACAAGAAATCCGGAAATGTAAAAATTATGTGAACAAGTGACTTTAATGGAGAGATTAATCGAAGATGGGTTTTAAGTATAAGATAAGTCGTAGTAAACTTTTAGAAAGAAGAGTAAAGCGTCTGCTACAGGGCGCCTTGGGAATATCCGAAGTAACCAACGGGAACACATACCAAGC